AAATTTTTAAAAATTCATATCAAAATAGATCCGAATTTCAGCATCAGCCGTTTTCAGCATCAGCTGCGACATTTATTATTATTATCTATTTAGGAGTTGTATAGACAGACATGACAAAAAGGAACGATCTAACTTTGTCAGAAATTTTGTTTCTGGTTCAATCTCACACTTGAGGATGGAGCTATTACTATCTTGTATTGTGCTACAAGTCCAGAAATCGAAGAGAAAAATTATCGTGAAAAGTGTTTTGAGCCATTTGATGTGACGAAAGTGAACGATCTTCAGATGCTCAAGGCGATGATTTGGCTAAAAGGTTTTGGGAAATTTGATAAATGAAAAATTACCACAATGTTGATTGATTTATGTAATTTTTGATATCAATATTCAAGTATTTTAGTAACTTTTTCTGTTATAAGTACATAGCTAAATGAATATTATGTAACCTATCATTGAATAGTTGACATTCAATAACAAATTTCAGTGTAATTTAGCTTTTAAATCAATTTTTTTTCTAATTCATGCTGCGAAATTTGCATCATTTTAGATTCCTGTGCACTTTTACGTATGACTTTGTTATTTGCAAAACTGGAAACTAAAGGTCACGAAAATGGTTATTTGGTATATGTGCAAGTTTAGGACAGTAACTCAAGAAACATAAAAATCATGATACAAATTTACAAATATACAAATCAGCAATATTAATATACTTTGCAAAATTCTGTCAAAATTGAACTTGCTAAAAATAAGCAATTTAACGGCGCTGATAATGTACTGTTAAAATGCAAAGTTTTGCAAATCTAAGTACTTTATTGGCATTTTATTACTATAATTTAATTTTATAAATATATTTGTCAATTATTATGCTAATAAAATGCTAATATTAGCAATATATTATCGATATTTTAGTGGTAATAAGACCTAAAAATTACTATTATTTAACCAATTTATTAGGTATTTCAAAGTGCTGGTAATGAAATAATCTTGTAATAAATTATTAAAATTGCTAACTTAGTACCAATAATGCACTTAATATTGCTTATTATTGGCAAATTATGGGCAAATAATTGCATATCTCGAAATTATCAGATTTTTGCAAAGTATTACATAAATTGATGCAATATTACAATGTTAATGCATAGTGATGAGTATTACTAGGCATGGTCGTGGTTAATTAAAGGTGAAGGTAAGAGTAAGAATAAAAATAATTTTTATTTTTAATTCGTAAATTAATGTATATTTATAGTTGAATAATACCCGTGATCATACAAGGAAGCTTATAAATTAACTAGGCTAACAGGAACTGTTATGTGTCCGGAGCCTAAAGCTATATATGTTGTACTCCAAATGACAATCCTGTCCCGATTGCTAATTGGGACAGCCCAAATTAAAATTGCCCAAATCTAACCTTAACGTCTGGGCTAATTAGTTTATAATTTTGGCCAGATTGTCATCTGGGAAAATTGTTATTTGGAGCACGACATATATACTGTATACAATATAATTATATACTATAATTATATATATGTATAAAAAATTAATATATATTTTTAGAGTATATTTAGGTGTATCAAAAAAGTAAGTGCGGTGTATCAAAAGCGATCATCATAGTATTTTATCACGTGGGTGGACAGACAGACAAAATTCTAGTCTGGCCTCTAGTACGTATGGTCACGTGGTGTGCTATGACGTAAATCACATGATACCGGTATAATATTTTATCACGTGGGTGGACAGACAGACTTTGGCCTCTAGTACGGACGGTCATGTGGTGTGCTATTACGTTATCATGTAATACAGGTATAATATGACAAAATGCAAGTCTGACCTTTAGTACATACAATCACGTGGTGTGCTATTACGTATATCACATATAGGGAATTGCTACCGGCACAGCAAACACGTGACATAATTCCTAATTCTGCTACATTCTAACACTAACCTTAAATATAGTACCGGCCATGCTGTGTCGTTAAGGTTAGTGCTGGTCACTTGCTGTGTCGATAAGCACGTGTTTTGTTGTGTCGGTAGCAATTCCCCACATATATTATCTAATACTGGTATACTATTGGGCACGTGGGTGGACAGACAGACAAATTTTGGCTAGTAATATAAGAATGTGAGTCCTATGCTTCGCTCTGGACAATAAATGTATAAAAAAATTAATTCATCTAATATGAATATAGAAAAGTTTTTTAGATCTTGGTCTTTCTTAATTCTCTTGCACAGCGAATGTTAACACTTTGTTAAAAAGCAATAAATGATATTTGCAGTGAACTTCAGTTAGTGATGTCACGTCTTAAAGTATATATAGGTTACCCCGTCAATATCAACTTTGTTAATATCAACCTAAGCCACAAAACAAATTTTTATAAATTTTTATTATCAAAATTCCCTCATATATACTAACTTTAATATGATCTCTCGTTAATATCACTATCAACATGATTTAAAACCAATTCAAATAGGTTGATATTAACAAGAGTAACCTATACTTTAAAATATATATTACCAATCAATTATTATACATAGCAACCACATAAAAATTTGTGGTCTCATGATAATATATGCTAAAATTTCATTGGCCAAAACAAACTATAGATTGTCAACACTTTTTTTGATCAAAAAATTAACTTTTGACATTAGGATAAGGGTGAGCATTAGAAAAATACAGTCGGACCTCCCTAAATACAACCTCCATAAATGCAATACCTCTCTAAATACACATTTTTGTCTTGGTTATATGAAATCATTAGTGCTAAATGCACATTTTATATTCTGCAAATACATGTT